AACAGCATCCATCTTCCAGAGTGTGTTTCTGTCATATGAATCACGATCTTGGTCCAGGGGACCTAAAGGGTCAATGATGGGGGACACAGGCCCAGGGGCCCAAAGTGGAAGGAGAGGGGCCCTGGCCTTCACCTGGAAAATGTCCCTGAAATGAACACGTACTGAACAGGGAGAGATTTACAATGACCAAAAAGAGACACATAACTACAAAACAGGGCAAGACAATCACAAAGAGAGACAAACCACAAAAACAGAGGCATGAAAACACAAAAAGATGCATAGCAGCTACAAAGAGATGCAAAAACTACACAAAAAGAACCTAAAAAACAAAACAGTGTGTGTGTCTTTGGGGCGTTTTGCACATCTGTGCCCAGGGGCCCACTGTCTGACAGTTCGCCCTTGCTCTTAGGTGTATGCTACTACACAAGAGACAGCTTTCACTTAAGATACTGCACAGCAACCTCCACACCTGCACCTTAGGGACACTACTGTGATTGTGATGTAGTGTGTTTCTATTTATAGGGTCCCATCATTGTGGCATTAAGGACTTTGATCCTGATTTGACCTTATTTTCAGATATGATTCAGGCGCACCCTTGTTTAGTGGAGCAAGACAGTTGATGCTCTCTAATAAATATTTCCTCTGGCTGCTCAATATCATCCCTAGACTTGGCTGGCTGCATATTTTCCTAGAGGTTGTAATTATCTGGCGCCCTTAATTTAATGTATCAGTCCCCTGCTACTAATTTGTTTTGTCAGAGCTTTGACTCTCCAAGCAATGCTGATGGAATAACTCATTTTTACAACACATGCTAATAGGGCTGGGCAGTGTACCAATATTATATCGTGACAAGAGACAAGATGTCGTCTTAAATTTGGGATATTGTAACATTGTAAATGTTGTCTGTTCCTGCCTTTAAAGGCTGCATTACAGTGAAGTGATGCAATTTCCTGAACATACCAGACTGTTCTAGCTCTTCTTTTATTTGCCTTCACCCATTTAGTCATAATATCCACGTCACTGCTCTCATCTCATTGTGTTAATATTTTGTGACGGCTGCACCAACAGTCAACCCTACAATATCGTCGCAATTCAATAATAGTGTGTGACAGTATTTGATTTTCTCAATATCACCCAGCCCTATCAGTGCTAACAGTCTTTCCGGCTCTTGTATCATTGTTACATTTTGAAATGTGTACATCAGGACATTTCTTCATTTGTGACATTTTTCTTTCATATTGGTGATATGAAAATATGATATTTTATCCAAAGAATCTTACATTACCATCAATGCACAATTAAAGCACTGTGAGAATTAAATGTTAAACCCTGGATAATGTTATAATAGAGTACTACAATCACTGGATTTAGCAATGTTCCCAACCTAATGGGTCAGAGCGGTCTAAGTTCAGTTTTTCAAAATTCCTCTGGTCTAAGACAGTCCAAAAATACTAGTAAATATTAAAAACTCTCTCCTGAACCCAAAAAACTAGAGCTCTAAAACTCACATTTTATGTTTCAGAGCTGAAAACACTACAATAAAATAAAGCTCATTTAGGTATTAAAAAAAAGAAAACAAACATTCTGTGGGTCCACAAACACAGCCTCTTTTCTTTGTCTATGGAGCAGCTCCAGTCTTTATACCTGATGACATCACAATTTTGAGACTTACTTCTTTGTTTTCTGGCTTTGAGAGAGAGCAGCTCATGTTCACAAATAGTTATCACAAGGAGCATGACTCAGTTTGTAATAAAGTCTTAACACAGAAAAAAAACACCCTCCTCATGTCATCAGGGTTATCTTAGGCTTGAGACTCAAGCTTTTAAACAAAAAACCTGCATCACAAACTGGGGGTGTCAGGTTTGAAGAATGTGGACATTTGGGAGGCAGGGAGGGTTTTATGAAAGACATTACTGAGTTGCATTATGGGAATGTATGATCCAGCCTTTTGGAGCTTGACCCAAACCAGGGACTCAGGTCAGAATATCTGCACTTTCAGTTTTGACTTTTCTTTTCAAAATATGTCTCTCTAGAGTCCCCCAACTTTAGAATATTCATTTTACAGGACAGGAAAGAAAAAAACACTTTCATGCTTTACTTATATGTTCTTCTATACTTTGCTTTTTTACCCTTAACTACTGGATAATTTTACATATTTGTGCTTCTTACAATAAGTTGATGTATTTTATTTTATTTTTTATTTTTTGTGCCAAGGTTAGTCAGCTGGCTAATTTTCAAGCAGCAAAACATTCATTATATTGGAGTGCCCCCATACTGTGCTTTAGTTGTTAAATCCCTGACCATGAACTCAGTGGTGCAAAGGTAGTGGTATCTTGTGAAGCCAGAAAACTTAATGCATCCATTGGTAGCAACCATATCTGCATAGCTTGTAGGGAGGAGGCTTAAATAATGTTCAAAATTTTGGCAAGTGAACAACTGGCTCATCAGATAATTAGAAGACTAATATTAACTGTAAAATAAGAAACCAAAGTATAGTTATCGGTGAGTTATCGATTCCTTAACTCTCCATATTGACATACTTCAACAGCACAACTGAATTCCTGAAATTCAGTTACAGCTTTTAGTTTTGGTGTGCCACCGCAAGATTTTTAGCGGCTTCATCTGGTCATCGCTTTCCAAAATTTTTTTTGGGCACCCCTGCATGAACTGCAACATCATTGATTCGAGCCTAGTCAGGGAACTTTGTTGCATCCCTCTCCTTCGTTTGCTGTCAACTCTTGACTAGCACATAACAGAGCCCAAAAAATACCTTTAAAAAACATTTTTCCAAAAAATTATGATCTGATTATGAATGCATGTACAATGCTCACTGAAAGGGGTCACAAGCAAAACAAGTTTTGGGAACCTCTGGGATAGAAGACATGTACTGATCTGTTGTTTTTTTTTTCTCCTTCCAATTAGAGAGAGAAAAGAAGCTGCATTTCCAACTTATAGTTGCAGCAAACACAACAGAGTCCATCAATGACTCCCTATCATTAAAGGACTGCAGCCATCCATAAAAACACATGACATCACCTCCTCTCCCACTGTGGCCATCTCTGTGCTATAAGTGTTTCCACCTGTCACCAAGGAACAACAGTACTGCGTGATTTGATTTGCTGCTGCGTATATGGGCACAGACAAGCCTTCCCCTTTATTGCGTGAAAACAGCTGGAGGGAGACCTGGTGGATAGGACTGTATCCCTCTCAGCAGAGTCAAAATGAAACCTATATGCCTCCAGCTGAGGGATAAAAATATGAACAAGCTCCAGCTGATATTTCATAAAACAAAGCCCGTGCAGTGACAGTGACTTGTGCACAAAGGCTGAAGGAAGGCTTTCGAGATCTGCAACAAACAGATATGTAATTGTCGTCTTCCGCTATAAATCAGCTCTGTCCATTCAATAAACTCCCGTCCTTGGGGCGGCTCTGAACCTGGGAGATCCAGAACAGGATAGTAGTGATTCGATTTAGACACAATCACAGCTGCAGCAGCAGCCCACAGGCTCCTTTGACAGTGCTTTATCAGTGTGGCCCAGCAACAGGAGTGCACGCTGGATTAGCTGAGGTACCACAGAAGGGTATTTGCTGCTGAGAAGCTCCCGTCACCGACGCTGCCGGCTTGCACCTGCGCTCCTGGGCGAAAGTCTCAGGCATCTCAATCGCTCCGAGGATACCCGCAGAATAAGCCAAATAGACTGTGACACGGCTCCTGAGCATGGCAACGCTGCCAGCTGAGCCAATCACACAGGGCCCTGAGTCAGGGATGAATGCTGCCTGCATCTGTAAACAGATCACTCTCACATTCACTTTGGCAGGCCCGCCAGATTGGTATCAGGGTGAAATGGAAGGTTATAGAGGACTAGAAAGACAAACTCAAGAGTTTCACTCCAGAGTGAGGAAATGGAGGCATCCATCATTTGAAAAAGCGACGCCTCGTTTAAATATAAATAATAAAAATAGTCGATTAAATCACAAATTCAGATTTTTGTGAAGAACTGAATGTGCAAGAATTCCAAATCGTATTGCTTCTTTGATAATGTTCCCAAGTGCTAAAACATACAGTAGTTACAGAGGTAAGCTTTCATGATCTTTGCCCTCCCACCATGGGTGGATTATGAGACAGTAGGCCCCTGGGCATAGACATGCAAAGGGCCCCACCACCTCTCCTACATAGGAGCAAGACACACAGACTTCGCGGTAGTTTTGTGTCTCTTTGTAGTCATAACATGTCTCCTTGTATTAGTTTTGTGTCTCTTTGAGGTAATTTAAATCTTTTTGTTATCATTTTTTGTCTCCTTGTGGTAGTTTTTTGTCTTCTTGTAGTTGTTTAAGTCTCTTTGAGGTAATTTTGTGTCTTTTTTGGTTGTTTTATGTCTCTTTGCAGTTCCTTTGCATCTCTTATCAGTCTTTTTGTGTCTCTTTGGGGTCTTTTTGTGTCTCTTTGTGGTCCCTTTGAGTCTTTTTCTGGTCAATGTTAATTTTCAGCGACATTTTGCAAGTGAAGGAAAGAGGGCCCCCTGACACTAGTGCCCGGTAGGCCACTTCAGTAATTAATCCAGGCCTCCCACCTCCATCTTCCACTATGTACATTTCTCACTCCATGTGTCTATTTTTCTGTCTGTCACTTTCAAAAACACATACAAGCACATGCTTATTATCCAGTGTGACATCTCATAACCAATGATGACATGTCACGCTCCACCGACAATGACTGAATATGGTCACAGTAAACACCTTGTCATTACAGCTGACATGCTCTCAGAGCCAGCCGAGTTCCCTTCTTCTCTCTTTTTGTCCAACATTTGTCATTAGTCTGTGCACTACACTAAAGGTAAGTGAACCTCCTGCTCTATAACATGATATGCCTTTTTCCACATTGTTATTCATGGAAAGGTTTGGATACCACTCTGAAAATGACAGGTGATGTCTGGGGGAGAGGACACTTGTTTCTGAGCTGAAGGATTCTGACTATGAGGTATGTTGATTTTCCTGGGCAGGAAAATGGTTGGGAAGTCCCTGATTGCTGGTCTGGTGGTCCTTCTGGTGGCTGCAGTGAGCCTGTTCCTTGGGGTGTTCATGGGCTTGGGGAAGAAAAACCCTCCTCCCCCCTCGGATTACTTCTACTCAAAGGCTGCTGTGGCTGCTGATGCTGGAAAGTGTTCAGAAGTGGGGAGGTAAGAAAGCTCTGATACTGTCAGACTTTTGTTTTCAGAATGTGACATATGGCCCTGCTGTGCATAAGTGAGTGCCAGCTTCTACTAAGTGTATTCTTTTGTTTTCAGGGACATTCTGAAGAAAAATGGTTCGGCTGTGGACGCCTCTATCGCTGCCTTGCTGTGTGTCGGTCTTTTGAATGCTCACAGCATGGGCATCGGAGGAGGGCTCTTCTTTGTCATCTATGATGCCTCCACAGGTGAGTCTGCATCATTAGTTACACCCTCTCAGTAAAATTTAACTGAGCAAAAACACAATCAGCAATGTGTCCTCATTTGCTCGACAGGGAAGGTGGAAACCATCGATGCGAGGGAGACGGCGCCCATGAATGCCACCGAAGACATGTTTGGCAACAACACCAAGCTCTCTCGTACAGGTACTAGCCTCGAGATGTTGGAGTATTATCCAGGCACAGAGGAGAGAAAGTGCAGTACCAATCTGACTATTGTGCTCTGTAAAGCTGTTGCAGCTTTTGTGACTTGAATCAAATGTTGTATCAGAGCTAGAGTTAGATTTAGTGAGGATAAATATTCTAGTCTCAAATCTATCCATCCAGCACCGCTTGAATGTTCTGTCATCCTTCACAACCTTGCTATATCTTCCCTTGCTCCTGCTGCTGGTTACATAAAAATGAAATAGCCTTCTGAATCTGTATGTTGAGCACGGTGTATCTATGGATGTGTTCTGTAGTCTCTCAGTATGCTGGTCCTCCAGTCAGACAGTGGGCAGAAAAAAATGAGCTTATGAAATTCAAAACAGTGGTACTGCTGTTTCTACAAAACAGGTGGATTGTCCATAGCCATTCCTGGGGAGATCCGCGGGTACGAGATGGCACACAAGAGGCATGGCAGGCTGCCATGGAAGGACCTGTTTGAGCCCAGCATTGCCTTGGCTCGAGACGGCTTTCCTATAGGAAAAGCTTTGGCTCATGCCATCTTCAAGAGCAAAGATTCCATTCAAGGAGACGCCAACATGTGGTGAGGATAAAGACATAAAGGCAGGAAATAGCAGCTGAGCTTAACACTGGCAACAGTGGCCTCACTTACTCTGCTGCTTTTTATAATGATATGGCTTGAATATAGTACAATACTTTGTGCTGACGACTTAATAGGAATAGTTTGATATTTTGGGAAATACACTTCTTCTCTTTCTTGCCAAGAGTTTGATGAGAAGAATGATACCACTCTCAGGTCAATATTGAGCGAAAGCCAGGAAATGTTAGCTTAGCTTAGCTTAGCATAAAGACTGAAGACGGGGGATTGAGCCAGCTGATTGGCCAAATTCCTTCTTTGGTCATCTCTTTGTCCAACATTTTTTACCTATCTATGCAAAAATACACTAAAGTTGATTGCACTTTCTATGTGCTAAAACTATTCATCAGCACTTCCTGAAGTCTCAATTTGACCAAATTGCATTTATTTTTATCCCTACCCTTCATTTTCCAGAGCTACTTTGCCCCTCAGAACAGAGTTACAAGGGGCAGTGGTTGAAATCTTACCCTGTGAAATGGGACAACCTTTCAAGACCTGATATGTTATCAGTAACTGAAGATGGTGTTTAAGTAATCAGCCATGACTTTTGCAATAATGGTATTAGCAGGCTAGCTCCAGAGACATCGGCATACTACTGTACTTGCAATTTTTATGTCATGCTTGTTATAAAGAAAAGGACCGTAATACATTCAAACAACATTAAACTAAAATAATCCGATGGTTATTTTTAAACCTTCATTAACCAGGAAAATACATTCGTAGAGTTTGTTGTTGCTTGTGCAGACATCTTGCTGATACTAACACTTGGTTAGAATTGTGCCTCTGAAAAACCTTCGTTTTGGAGGGCCATGTAACCCTTAAACTTCACTCCACCCCTCTGTCGCAACAACAACTGGGTAACCCTCGACGTGAATGCGCAAAACAGTGGTAAGGTCAAATTGGTAGAGGCAAGGGCTGTATTTGGACTGAGCCTTCGTGTGTTTTAGAAGTGCTGGTAGATGCATATTTTAATTTTACTTTAGACAGAAGCAAGCCAGCCATTTCCCTATTTCCAGTCTTTATGCTATACTAGGCTAAACCTCTACTTGCTATGGCTTCTATAGATGGAGGATGACTCTAGATTGGGATTATTCATCATTTATATATATTTATAGGTTATTTATTGAAATGACAATTAAGCCAAAAAGGTTTTCTTGCTTAGCGGTTTGCTTTCACGTTGTGCATACCAACTGCACATGCAATATTGTGTTTCTCTTCTTGTTCCAACACACTTACATAATTAATCTTGATGTCTCTTCTATAATGATGGTCTATGGGGAAAATGCTTTTTGGGCCACAGTGGATGTTTTAGGTGCAGTACTGCGAGTGTGCACCAGCATAAATTGCAAGGTTGACTGGTGATGCTGTATCCACAACCTAATACATTCATAGTAGCTTCATGTTTAATGGACAGACATGAATCAATCCTCTCATCTAAGTCTCTGCAAGAGAACTATAGAGCGTAGTTTCTAAAATGCGCAACTTTTCTTTTAAAGCCACACTATGTGTAGAATTAGTCTGTTTTCATGAGTTTCATAGGACCTAAACACTTCTACAATTTGAATTGTTTTTCTTCCTTTTCTTTTATCATCTTCCAGTGAGGTGTTTTGTGATTCTCAAAAAAACATACTCAAGGAAAACGATATTGTTAAATTTCCAAAGCTGGCCGACACGTACCAAAGAATAGCAGAAGAGGGGCCTGATGTGTTTTATAATGGGTCAATGGCACGGAGCATCGTCGAGGACATCCAGGCGGCAGGTCTTACATGGTTTTCTTGTTCACTGTTGTCCTTAGAGATATAAAGGTTTATAAATAGTTTCAGTTCTGTAATGTGCAATTTTGTTCTAAGTGTAAAAGGCTTGAAGGAAATACCTCAATTCTTGGCAATTTTTAAATCTGACCTGATTCCTCATTCGAAATTCACTCTGGCACTTCTGTGCTTGTTCAAGGTGGCATCATCACCCTGGATGATTTGTTGGAGTACCAGCCTGTATTGAACGAGAACCCTCTGAAGCTGAACGTGGGGGAATACACCATGCATGTCCCAGACGCCCCCTCCAGTGGCCCTGTGCTGGCACTCATACTCAACATAGTGGATGGTGAGGAGCCTGGCCAAGTGCTTGTGCAGCCATGTAGAAGAAAGGATGTCAGGTTTCCCCGGGTCGTCCCTGGAATGTTTTCTCCGCCTGTTTTGGAAGCAGAAAACAGAGCTGCGACTCAGTTCTGCTTGCCAAATTTAATTCACCGTCAACACCCCATCTGTTCAGGCAGAGAATCTTTAGTCATGCTTTAAATAAAAAGTGGCATCATTAATTTCAAATGAGATAAGATTTAATGTGTTCATATATGACTGCAGGAACACAGCCCTACATTCATATAGCTGAAAGGGTTCTGTGTTATGATTTGAACTGAGGGTTCACAGCTTAATGACCTGCCACCGACTGAAATGGGTTTTTAGCTCGATGATGGAGAAGACTCATTACCTGATTAGGACGAGAAAATGTGATTCTTCATGTACTGCAGACATGTTTTTCCTGTGGATATTTTGCAGGCTACAACTTTTCAGACACAAGTGTCTCTACAGCAGAGAAAAAGACTCTGACATACCATCGAATCGTAGAGGCTTTTCGTTTTGCTTATGCCAAGAGGAGCAGACTCGGGGACCCACGTTATCTCAATATTACCGATGTAAGCTTTCATGTTATGAATATTACATGTCAGACCTTTATTTTGGGGCATTTCTAGCTTCACTGAACTCAGTGTGATCACAGCCATCTCCTGCTGGACACTGTGCAGTTCTATAGGAGTAGATTGGGTGTGAAGTGTGCAGCATGTACATTTATTAAGACAGTAACTTCTGTACTATAACAAAGGCCAGAACAAGTGTTCTGCTATTGTTTATGAGAGGAACTTCTGCTCTGCGACTGACTTGTTTTGCTCTCCTCAGCTCATCCTAAACATGACCTCAGACTACTTTGCTGATGGCATAAGGAGTAAAATTACAGACGACACCACCCACCCGGACAGCTACTACGAGCCAGACTATTTTGTCCCAGACAACCACGGGACGGCTCACCTGTCGGTCATAGCTGAGGATGGAAGTGCTGTGGCGGCCACCAGCACCATTAATCTATAGTAAGAAGTCAAGCTTCCAGAAAATATAGACTTTTTGTCAGAATAAAATGCATTTTGTGACAAACAGTTTTGATGTTTATAACTTTGTGACTTTGTATCACTCATTAAAAAGCTGTTTTATTTCCCCAGCTTTGGTTCCAAAGTCATGTCTCGATCAACCGGAATCATTTTCAATGATGAAATGGACGACTTCAGCTCTCCGTACATGACCAATGGGTTTGGAATCCCTCCTTCACCAAACAATTTCATCCAACCAGGTGTGGCTGGCCTGAGTCATCACACTTGTATTACTACAACCCCTAGTTTGGGTTATGACTTTTCGACACACGTCTGTGTTGATGGATAGCAGTGTTTTTCTAAATTAAGTCACCTGTTTCCACTATCTCAAAGAGGATGACCCTTTCTGTAGTGAGGAGGATGCAGAGGTGATGCTTTCACCAGCCTTTCACTTGTTCCTGCATTAGTCATTGTCAGGAACTCTGATAGCTTTAACTCCCCAAGCAGCATCATTCTGCTCCATTTCAAAGCAATAAGCTAATTGCAAACCTCCCACTGTGGCTCACTGCTGTTCTTTGGTTTGTTTGCAGTCATTTTAAATAAGTGTCAAATTAATGTGGCAGTTTTTAGCTGTTAAAATGTGGCGTGTGGTCCATTAAACCCCAAGGTAAAAAGTAAACATTTGTCTATTAGGCAGTCGTAGCCACATTCTGTTTATTTGTTGCAGGCAAGAGGCCGCTGTCTTCCATGTGTCCCACTATCATCTTTGACAAAGAAAACAGAGTGAAAATGGTTGTAGGAGCATCCGGGGGCACAAAAATCACCACAGCCACTGCCTTAGTGAGTCTGACTCATTCACATGCATCACCTCTGCCCTGCAGACACACACAGTCAGTTCTTTAAAACTTCAAGTCTGTCCTTTTTTCTCTGGCTGAACCAGGTCATCCTGAACTCCTTGTTTTTCAACTATGACCTAAAGAAAGCTGTGACAGAGCCACGAGTTCACAATCAGCTCAACCCAAATATGACAGTAGTGGAGCAGGGCTTTGAAAAGGTGAGTCACACATGGAGACGTATGATGCAGAACAACATATGAGATATATGATAAAGCTAAACAGCTGTTGGAGAGTCATTACATACTCATTAGACTACAAACATACAGTATTTTATAAAGCATACTGTGTGTTTTTTTGATGGATTTTCTACCCACAGGCAATACTTCATTTATCTAAATTAGGGTCAGTGTGAAAATCAGCTTGTGAAGACTTGAAACTTGGGATTATAATAACACTTATTTATTTGCCTTTAGTCTCTGAGAATGCATTCAAGCATCTAGATGCACCAACAAAGAACTTGCATGCATGCATTATGTTTTTAATCATCTGCGGTCCATTCCATTACTTTCACTTAACATAGCTTACATTTTATTCACTACTCGGCTACAGTCAGGTTAGGAATGGCAACTTGTAGAAAGCTACGGTCACATGGCATGTAGTGGCTCCTCGTGAAGGTCACTGGAGTTACATTCTGTTATCGATGCTAGTGCTGTTAGCTGAGGTTAGTGATTTCAGTGGATAACTTGGCAGTATAATGTGATAGTAAGATGAAAAAGACATTTTGTTTTATGTGCGCATCCCTCAACTATATGCTGGCTCCATAAATTTGCACTCAGTAGTCAAAACTTTGAGAACTCCTGGTCCACAGCTCTGCGAGCAGCTCCATTTAGGCCTACCTGCTTAAGCTAAATGCTAAACTTAATATACTAACCTGCTTATGCTATACTGGTATAATGCGGTTCACCTTCTAAGTTTAGTGTTAGCATGCTTATATTTGCTAAGTACAACTGAGGCTGATGGGAATAGAATTTGTTTTGCAGGTATTAAGTCATTAACCATAGTTTGAGCAGTTTGAATTAAGACCTTATGATGGCGCTAGATGAAAAGTAAAGGGATCATTTGTGTTATTGTAATTAATCCTGGGGGGGACTTGAATGTGTGTACCAAATGTCATGGCAATCCATCAAATGTTTGTTGAGATATTTCACTAAAAAACATGTTATTAGGACCCAACCTTTAGGAAATGCTGCTTATGGATAAAAATAAACGGCAAGAATATTAAATAAAAAAGTGTTTACTTTGATAGATTACCATCTCAACCAAGTTTCAAATTCATGCAAGTTCAAGTAAGTCCACAGCCTTGTGGCATGCATTAAAAACAATGACAAATGTTAATGATACACAATGCTTAATAACTGCACTGAAGGATGCAAAACCTTTTAATCTATTCCTTTAAATGTTTAGTGTGTAGGATTTAGGGGGATATATTGGCAGAATGAGATTCAATATTTGCAGCGGTGTTTATGGAATTGCTGTGTTTCTGTAAGTTTAGAATGAGCCATTTTTATCCAAATACAGAGTGGGTCCTCTTTCAGAGAGTTCGCTATTTGTTTCTACAGTAGCCCAGAACAGATAAACCAAACACTGGCTCTTCATAGGACCATTTGCATTTTTGTGACAGCCACCATAGTTCTCCTACATGCTTGGCACACAGGAGGAGTTTCAGTTAGGTGCAATCTGCAACCTCACCACTAGATGCCACTAAATCCTACACACTAGACCTTTAAGAAGTCTATTACCTTTATTGCCCTTTGTCAACACCCTAACCTTCTGCACAAGACTCTATATGTTTGTGTTTGTGTAATGATGATACCATGGCAGAGTGTTCTGGAGGGTCTGGTCCAGAAGAACCATGTAACACAGCTGCTGCCGACTCCAGACTCTGTGGTCCAAGCGGTGGTGCGGCAGGGAGAGCGTCTCTGTGCGGAGTCCGACCCCAGGAAAGGAGGCTATCCAGCAGGATACTGACTGCGACTTCGGGGCCTTCCCTGCTCCTCTGAGTCTGGACAGTCTCCTCAAAGACACTTGGACAGAGCCACAATACAAAAGGTGCCTGCACTGAAGACTCGAGCAGTGTTTAAGCTATGGAGACACAGCTGCCAAATACTTTTACTCAAACATGGAAAATGACTCCAAAACCTCTTTTACTCAAACTCAATTATTCAGCATTACTTTCCTTTTTTGGCATCATTTTTGAGTTTTGAAGTAAAATAAGAGGTTGCACCTAGTTTGACTCCTGTATCTTCACTACTGGATACTGGTGATGTTTTGGGGGAAACCCATCATCATCATCTACTTTATATAGTAAATAATTCTAAGCATGACACAATGTCCAACATATTAAAAAATGACCAGGTAAATATGAATTACTAGGCAAATAATAAGAAACAGTCTTGGCAGTGGCGCCCCAAGGGGTGGGGGCATGGTCCCTCTGGTACAATTGCTGGCCCTCTCACTGCCGCCCCCCCCCCCCGGCAAAAATAATTGGAGGCCAAAATTACTGTTTTTAAGAGGCTGTGGCATATTGTTTTTTAAGCTAGCACAAAGGTAGTGGTACCTTGTGAAATAGGTGAACATAAGGCATCTATTGATACCAACAATGTTGACAAACTTGTCAGGAAAGGGGCTAATTAAGGCTTCAAAATTGGGCTAAATTTTGGCGAGGGAAGAACTAGCAAGGCCATTTTGAAAGGGGTCCCTTGAACTCTCACCTCAAGATGTCTGAATGAAAATGGGTTCTATGTGTACCCATGGGTCTCCCCTAAATTTGAGAAGGCTTGTTCCCAGTAAATGTTTTGCTCCTTACACTCAATGTACTCCACTGTGTATTTGTAATTTTTTAAAAGACAACCAGCCTACTGGAAGAACAATGAACATGTATAGATACGTACCACATGAAAACAGGATTGTCGTCGATCTCAAATGTTAACTGTACCTATATTAATCTATGCACATCAGATAATTAGTAACTTTAACTGTAAAACACAAAACCAAAGTACATCAATATGCGATTTTCTAACTCTTCATATTGACATAGTTTTCAACTAGCCTATATACTACAACAGCATAATCGAATTCCTGAAATTCAGTTATGAATTTTGGTTTTGGTGTGCCACCCCCAGATTTTCAGGGGCCCAATCTAGCCACCCTGATAAAATATTTCTGAGGCACCCCTGGGTCTTAGGTTTCAAAACATTTTTAGGTAAGAATCTGAGTGGTTGTAGGTTGTCCATGTAGTACTTTCATTTATTTATTGTCTACGGAAAAAGCTATTGTGAATAACTGGACATTATGTCTGAGAAGGGGGGGGGTTGGGGGTGGGGTTGTCAAGTAAAACTGGTGAAAAACTATCAATTCAAAACTAATTAAAAAAAAAAAAAAAAAATTAAAAAAAGACATAAGGACACCTCAGGTTGTTAGCCTGTTTTATGAAAATGTCTCCCGAAATCTTCTCCTAGTGTAAGTTGATCCTGAAACGAGCATTATTTCGAGGAAACTGACCGTGTTGTTTTCTACCGTGACTCTATAGTGAAGCTATTACTTCTGAATTGTAAATGTTTAATATCGAGTAGAGGTTAATTGAATGTATAGTGTATTCTGAAAAATACATTTGCAGATATATTTTTCTAAACATGCATTGTTCTTATGCCATGTTTGTTGCCATGCTTGTTATTAAACATTTTGAACAAAGATGTTATATTTTACCATACGCACCCTCTGGGTATTTCTGTGCTTTCTGTAACTGGAACATTAGGCAAGAAATCACTCTACTGTATTTTATCTTTTCTTTTAGTTCAGATTTTGTTCTTCAGTGTTTATACTGAGCATCATGTATTGTGGTAAGTAAATTTAATCCAGGGAACATACAGTATAAACAGAAAAGCAGCTGGCACAGTGAATGTTTGGCATTTTTGCTTGGTTAATGGCTTGACAGATTATCAGTTATAAAAATTTGTCGCCGATTAATTTTGTCAATCGACTAACCCTATCAATCAACTCAGTTTCAACACTAGAACGAACACAGTAAACAAAGTTTCTTTCAGGACTGTGTTTCAGTTACGGTCAAAGGAGGTAAACAAAAATGTGTGCAGGACTCAGGACCCCTGAAGTAACCATGACCCTGTTTTACTTTCACTGTCCAGTGAGTTTCAATCAGCACTCAGTAAATGTCTTCATCCATGTGTGCTCTTTGAGAAAACGAAAAAAAAAACAGCAAGAATGAGACTGTGTCCTCGCCTTTAGGTGAAAACTTCAATCTCAGAAAAGTCAGATTTTTTTTAACTTATAACTTTGTTTAATCTTAAAAAATCTGCCTTTTTGTCTGTTCAGGTTTGAAAGAAATTGAATATCTCACAGCTGTGAATTCCTCTGCTGCATTAAAAGCACTTTGCAACCAGCAGCAGCAAATTTAAATAGGAGGCTTTCTGCTATAAATGGTTTGGTGCAACTAGATGGATAACAATGAGTGGATCAAATTCTACTGCAGCAAATTATACAGGCAACTCTTCGGGGAAAAGCACAAACTGCGCGCCGTGCACTATGTTAACACACACTCCTTTTATAGTGTGTCCTCAAGAGCATTAGTTCAACCTTAACTGACCCCGTGAACTAGCCCACATACTCCATGCATTGGTAGCTGTACATGTAACTACAGGCACCATCTGGCCTCTTGCCTGAAGTAACATCAAAACAAGCAACAGCGAAAAGGCCTCACTTGTGAGGCACGGTGTGTCGCACAATTCTGCAAGATATTTACATAGAAGACATGACTGCTTTTACCACGCACCACTGTGATCTATCAGTGTATGCAGTAAGCAACATGAAGCCAAACACTGCACTTTAACTCATCAACAGGAACTTTCAGGGGGCCGGCACAGATGGCAAACGAGTCAGAGAGGAAAAAAAATTCCTGTCAACAAGTCCTGAGGGCTCCAATCACACACCCCACCTTACAAGTGCTTGTGCACAAGGAGAAACATAACAATCTCAACCTGAGATATCAAGCTGTGGCCAACTTTAAATACTACTGAAACCATAACTTAACTGTAATGCAGAGATATTCCGACTGCAGATACATTACCCTTATAATTATTCTCATACTTGTCAGACTGAACGAAAACTAAAGAAGATGAAACAAGTCGTTTATTTTCTTGAAAGAATGCAGTGAGTAATGGATTACAGGCCCGTCAGGACACCTAAATGTAATGTTATCAGCCAAAAATCGTTCTCACAAATCATGTTAGACGTAAGTGGAATACAGATACAGTATCTGGCGTCATGCCATCGTGGGTCTATTACATTATAAATGTGATCACGATTTCCTCCTCTGGATTCCAGCTTCATCTGTATTCTTCTGGCAAAATATGAATCATCCAGGCCACTGGAACACATTCATCTTGTAGCTAACTGTGATATTACCCTCATTCATCAAAAAGCGGTGGGTAAATCTGCGCGGCTGTGACAGCTCCTGATAAACTTTTGACATTTCTACCACAGGAAGTCATGTTATGTCTTTCTGACAAACCTGGACTGTTGCTGTGTAAATAACACGTGATGTTTATCATCAGGCCATCATTCAAATCAGTATCTGACCGTAAGTGATAACAACCGATCTATTCTTGGTCTACCGGTAACTCAGCCTTCTTTATCACTACTGACACGGTCCTCTTTAATAATTACCCAGGCATTGCGTGCAAAGAGTTTCACAATTGCCCAAATATTTACAAATAAAAGGCTTTAGCGCTGACAGAGCAGGACAGATCTTCATCACCATCTAGTGGTGAGCAGCAGTGACTCAACTCAGCAGTTTGAGGAGGTGTTGTGTCTTTTTCAGTGGCCAAAATAACTACAGTTTGTTGTTGGAAAGGAAGTAGTTACAGTCGCATGGAGACCGGTGGTGCTGGTGATTGCAGCTCTTGGTCCAGCAGTCGGAAGAGCATGGCACTTTTGTTGCACTGTGAGGTTTGTCCCAGCGAGCGGTGGAGCAGAGCCTGCAGGTAGTGGACATCCCGCAGCCGCTCCTTACAGTTCAGCTTGGAGAAATAGGCTGCTGCCTCATTTAGTGTGTCAACAGCCAAAGCTGCCAAATGCAAATCTGCAAGGAGACAATAAACAGCGGTGTGTGAATAAAGGCTGTGCAGCCACACAACACAGTGAGATAGGGATGAGTATGAGGCAGAAGGGGCCAAGGCTGTTACCTGCTTGCCCTTGTCCGTTTGGCTTGAACCCAGCCACCGCCATCTGACAGCGGGCCGTCAGCAGCAGGGCTCGGCCCTTGTCCATGACTGATCCGTGGGCCAGGACAGGCTCAATGGCTTCATGCAGAACACTTATAGCACGCTCAGGAACTCCCAACATCAGCTGCAGAGAGGAGAGAAAAACTAGAATTACCGCTCGGAAGTTGTATGCCTCCGAGAACTAGTGAAGCTGCGCTTATAGTTTACATCCATTACTGTGGAAACATGGATGCTTCACACATATCTTCCACAAAAAAGAAACAATTTAACTATGCAGGCTGCTTACTTACTTATGGTCAATGAACAACTATCAATGACTAATGACCAAACTGACAAAACCTGTAAGTCTAGAAAGTCGGGGAGGCAAAACAGTCCACATCTGAAACGCTCCCAGTGTGGTATGACACGGTGTGGCAGGCAAAACAAAAAGGCATCGTGCAGCCATGGCAGCCGGAATGCGGCACAGCTGGGCACTGAGGAGTTGTGCCTCCCAGCTCCCTTACAGTCAAGATGGTGGCAAAGATAACAAATATAGGGATTTATCGAGCTCATATCACACATAACTTACCGGCTTTGGGGTTAATCTGCAAATGCTCCTGTTCAAAATGAGACCAAACTTTTCTATGGATGTCAGTTTTTGAGTAATGACGAGGCCAAAATGTCAGACGATAAGGCTTGTTGCTTTTAGCCAGGCCAATTTCCGGAAAACTTGCGGTTCCTACTGGTCGGCTAGGAGTGGTGAGGAGCCAGCAGTCAATGACGGTGAAAAACAG